TGTATGAGAATAAATTTGGATAAAAATGAGCAGTAAAAAAATCGATCTTTACAAACAATGATGGAAAGAAAATTGATTATGCAAGAAAAGCAAAATGCAAGACAATATCACAATTCAAGTATTGTTCCTCTGTCGTGTGTACTAACAAATAACGCACTAGAATAATATTTTATATATGAAAAATCAATCTTCACAAACAAGGATTAAAAGAAAATTTATTATACAAGAAAAACGAAATGCACAAACAATGATAGAAATAAATTGATTATGTGAAGAAAAACGAAATGCAAGGCGATGTCACAATTTAAGTATTGTTCATCTCTAGTGTATACTAACAAATAACACATTAGAATATATATTTTATATATGAGACTATTTTTTCATACATTCATAACTTCGAGCAATAATTTAGATTTTTATATGAGAAAATGATATATTTATTGATAGTGTATGAGTTTGATATATTGTTATTGCATCATTCATATTTAATTCAAAAAAGAAGTAATGCAAATGAGTGATGAATGATATACAGATTGTGTATAAATCTTTATATTCTCAGTATATAGATATTACACTCTTTATATATTTCTAAAAACAAATCCATATAAATGAACATTTATAAGAGATGAATATTCATTTTTTTAATAATTCAAACATGTCTACTATTAGTTCTAAGTGTTCTTAACGATGTGAATGTACGTGTAATATGTGTGTTTTAATTCTACGAATGCACGGGTAACATGTGTGTTTTAACTATGCAATACATGTGTAACATGTGTTATTATTAATGCAAATGTATGGATAACATCTGTGTTTTTAACCATGTGAATGCACGGGCCACATGTAAGTTCTTAATAATACGAATGCACAGGTAACATGTGTATTTTAACCATGTGAATGCACAAGTAATATGTGTATTCTTAACCATATGAATGTACATATAATATGTATATTCTTAATCATACGGCAAGAAAATGTCACCCCATATGACATTTGTATAGCCCTCAGAAAGAGAGTAAAATGTTCTTAACACTGTATGTTCTTATAAATAAACATAATTTATTATAAAACATTATGATATCGTTCGATTTATACAGCCCTCTCCACCCAGAGGAATCAAGTGTTGGTTGTTGTTAATACATTGGTAAAATAGCAATATCTGATATTGCTAGTTACAACTACTACTTCCAATGTCATGCTTTAAGGAGCAATGCCAAAAGCAACTCAATTTTGAAAGCCCTTTTTCTGTCTGTGGGTGTGGATCCTTAAGGTTTGTTGGATTCTGATTCAGTTAGGAGTTCTTTCCTCCAAAATTTTAGAGAACCTCAACAATAATTTTAATACACCTTACTTACATGTGATGAATACATAGTTTCAATCTATTAAAAAGTTAAAACTTATTATGTTATTGTTACTTCTGACTAAAAAGGACAGCCCAATGCACAAGTCTCGCACCTATTAGCATCTACGCGGGGGAAGATATATCCTCACAAGAGAATATGATATTTATAGGATTTGAACAATTACTTCCGAGTCATAAGATAAGCAACTTTATCATTGCATTACCGACTTGTCAGATAAATTTGAAATACTTTTATCTCTAAAGGTTTCCTTTTTTTCAAATCCATTTGCACTATTAACTTCATATGGTAAAGGGATTCACATTCACAGTTCCAATTACAAACCTTAGTTGATTGTTCATATGGTAATAAAATAGAATATTTTTAATTATATTGTAGATTCTAAATTCTTAAGAACTATAGAATAATCAACAAATAAAGCTTTATGAAATAAAAGAAACAAAACAACTTACAATACTTTTGAAGAACTCAATAAATTCATGAAATAAAGCCTACCTCACCACCATTGGTGCCTGCTTCATAGCATGGTTTCAAACTCATTATTGCATGTTCAAGATAAATCTCTCCTAATCATTTCTAACACCACATTGATAGTACTACATAAAAAGCAAAAGAAGATCACTTATTTGTTAGGCCCTCATCAAAAGACAAAATAGAAGACTACTACAATCATATCACACAGAATCAGAATCACAATGATACTGCTGCAGCACAATTGCATTAGATCGCATTTGGATCACATCAGGTTGCATCGTACAACATCAAATTCAAAATGTAATTTTTAATTACAAAATAATTCACATTACAACTGCCGCAATGAGCGCAATCGCAATAACTACTATAATGACCACAATCACAATTTAAAAGATGATTTATATGCATCTTTAATAAGCTTTTTAAAGTTTGGACTTTGAAGGAAGGTCTTAGCTGTGTGAAGCACCACAAACCTTGACCATAGAAGTAAGATATCACCAAAAAATATACATGAGTACACTAGACAAAAAACATTCTGAATAAGACAACAATAGAAAACATTAGTTGATATTGTTGTGTTGTTTGCCTACAAGAGATTGGTTTATTAGTCTAAAGTCTAACTAGATCTCTAGAAAGATAAAAAAGTTAAGATTCAATTCCTAAAAGCAACATTTGTTGGAACAAACAACCACGCACCCCGAAAGAGATTAATTATAATATTATTGGTAATAACAACAAAACACTATTAGTTGTTTTTGTTATTTTTGTTATTGGAGCTTAGTAATATTACAGATTTTGCTATTTGAATGTTATCTGCTATAACCAAAACGAGTGATGGTGATTGGGTTCATGATCAGGACATTCCATTTTTAAGCTTGAAGTTGTAACCAATTCATGAACACAATCCACTCAGCTAATATAATTGAATTGACTTTTCACCATAGTGTCTTAATAGGCTACATTATTTACTACACAGGACAAGGTTATCATCAAATCATCTTTATCATTGTTGGAAAAATCGTTTGGCCAGTTCAAGCGTTAAACTGGTCTTAATATCGATATGGTATAACAAATATACCGATTATACAATCATATCGGTCAAAACCAGCCAAAACCGGTCAAAATCAGTCATATCGTCTGGTTTTCAATTGAATTGTATCGATCATACCGCCAATTTTTTATTTAAAATTAATTTTTAATGAAAATAAAAAATTATTGTTTTTATTGATTTTTCAATATTAATGTTAATACTATATATATTTATATATATCAAACTTTACCGATATGCGGTTTAATTAGTAAATCATTGGTTGGACCGCTTTATTACTATATTAGTATCCTAATCAATTTGATAATCAGGACATTATTAATACCCTAATCTTTATTATTACTTTTGTACATATATTCAATTTGTCATTTGGTAAATACATTTGACTTAAAAGATATGTACGTAACCAAAATAATATATACTTCTACTAAATTCGTGTACAGGTATAAAAAGTAATATATGTGAAGAAATAATATTTTAATATTTTATTTATTAATACTCTATAATAGGTCAATTTCTTATTATTACTCTCATAATAATATATTATGAGAATGATGAAGGTTGAGGTTAGAGTTGTGATAAATAGACTAATAGTACGTATGAATAGCTAAATTTGGTCAACACGAGACTCATTCATGTTTGTGTTTTAATTTATAAAAACTTCACACTTTTAGCTATTTGCATTTTTTTCTTTTCAAATTAATGTGTATAAAGCTATAGCTGGTTAGTAAATTAGTTAGTCTTTTTCTCTATCCAAACTAATAACTTTAGTATTTTGAGCCTTTATTTTTATTAGTCAATTATTCGTGCCTATTAAGTTCAATCTTCATAGTCAATCTTCATGATAATTTTCTTTGTATAAGCTTTGGAATATTAAATAATATAATGGAAGGGAATAAATCAAGAAAATAAAGATAATATAAATTTAGGAGAAGTTTTAGTTGTTTGGTTTTGGGAAAAAAAGAATCAAAGAAAGTTAAAACTTTTTTTCAATTTTTCTTTTCCTTTCCACTTTTTTGTTTGGTGGGGTAAAACAGGGAAGGAAATACATAAAAAAAATATTAATGAAAAAATATAAATATCTCTAAGTAAAATCTCATTTTTTTATTACTTTGTTTGTAGGTATATAAGTGATATTATACTCATATCAAAATCTCATAATTCTACTTATACACTTTTAATTATATCGATGTGGACAATAAACAAAAGAGAGTTAGACCATAGTTAATAGAGATTGTTACAAATTTATACTCAAATATTATTAGCTAATGAAAAAGGTTAAGTATACATTGGCTGGCTGATAAATTATTACATGATTCAACATCAATTATCTCAATCACATTTTCATCATTGATTTGAAACAAACTTATTTAATTTTAAATTATTAATCCATCAATTTTGAAAAGTGAGATAATGAAGAAAAATAAGATAATGAGATTTTCACAAAAATATGGGCCCAAAATTTATCTCCAAGTTCCATAAATTAACTCATTTTTTCTCCCTACTGAATGGGCCAAACTACACTTTATCAACCAATTTTGTTCCATGACACAACCCTAAAACAAAAAAACACAACCTCAACCCTACTTTGCTAGCCGCATATATATATACACACACATGGCCACACTTCAACATTCATTGTTATGTCTTCTTCTCTTGTTTTTGTTACACTTTATTTTCATGTTCTTGTTTTTGTTTCTTATAAATTCATAGATTTGTTTTTATTATAAGGGTCTGGAGTTTGGCTCTTTGGTTGTTATAAACATGTGCCTTAGAGATGAATGCAGCACCCTATACCAAATTTTTCAATCAACCTTTTCACCCTTTTTTTGCTATTCAATTATAATTTAGCTTATCTTTTTGTTAAGGTTGATACATTTTTTTGTTTTAAATCATGTCTCGTATGTTTTTTTTTTTTTTTGTCAATAGAATTATTTTGTTTTCATTTTATTGACGTAAATCAACGTATGAGACAAGATTTTGAAAGTAGATCCCTCTTCGCATGTCATGGTATAATATTAACTTTGATGTTGGATGATACCAAAGTTATATTTCAAATTGTATAAGACTGTGTATATCTACCTTACCGAGTTTTACTTGTTATTGAGTAGTTATTCAGGCAACCTCCTTGCTACAATTATATGGCATGAGGGGTGTTATACTGCTCGTAAATCAATTGCTTTTGCTCTTCAGATTTGCTGAGATTATCTCTGAAGCTGGTCTAGTAAGCTCTAGTACAATTTTTTTTATTTTTTAAGAAAATGTTTTTTTATTTTTGCCAATTATTTATATATTATGAAAGTAGTGTACCCTTATTTATTTTTTGTATATATCTAGGTGTTAAATGTTTTACTTGAAAATTTATGTTGGTTGATATTACAATTATTATATTGGAAGTGTCTAATGTTTTCAAATGCTTCAAACATTAATATAGTTAAGGGCATAATGTATCTCCTTATATGATAATTTATTTCCTCCATTCAGAATATATGAATATTCAAATTGAGACATGTTTTATGAATTGTAGTATATAAGGTCAGCACTTAATTACCTGAATAATGAAATCTACAGCATTTCTATTTATCTATTTGTTTTGAAGAATTTTTTTATTCTCAAATAGAAGTTTAATTTTACTTTAATTATTATTTTACATATTTACTCTTTTTAATACTTTAAAGATTTATGTAAGTGATGGAAAAAAACAATGATTATAGAGAGTATATATTAGAAAAATTACGATAAATATCATGTAAATTAACACAGTGATTATTTATATTTTTTAATAAACATGTTTTGTTGCAATGAGACAGATAAATAGGAACGAATGTAATATTATTTATTATTACTTTTGTTTCTATTTATCAGTTACATTGTCATAAAATATGTCTATTAAGAAATATAATAATTGTGTTAATTTAGATGATATTTACCATGTTTATCATTTCTCTTTGTTTTTTAATAATTTTTTCCATTACTTACTTAAATTATTAAGTTTTAAATAAGAGTAAATATAAAAAAAAAGTAATTAATGTAATATTGAACTTTTAAACGAAATAATTGAATAGATAGAAATTGTAAAATTGAACTTATTAATAAAGATGTTAATAATTTTATATATAAATAAATTTTATAGAGATGAAAATGAGGCGAGTTTAATTCGTTATGAGTAAGTAACCTTAATTTGAGTTCAGTACAAATTATTTTTTATCTTAATTTAAAGTTCATAAATCTACACATTCATGAATATTTCTATAACAAATTTGTACAAGAATAAATATAATAATAGATTTATATATACAAAAATTTTAATACATATTTTATTTATATATTAGTATAAAAGTATATATAAAATTATAATTTATTTTTAATGATTTAATATATATGATCATATATATAATATATAAATTCAAAAGTACTATATATATATATATATATATATATATATATATATATATATATATATATATATATATATATATATATATATATATATATATATATATATATATATATATATATATATATTAATTATATTTAACTAAAGTTTGACTTATTTAAGATGATGACTCAAGTTGTCTTATTATTTTTATTCATATTTATCTATTCATTTAGAAGAATGTTTTCCTATTTATTTGTGAAGATCAATGATGTATTAATTTATATTTTCATACTTATATTTGTCTAATGCTTTATTGTTTATGTAAGTAGTAGAAAAAAATTAATGATGACACAAAAAAGACATATACCAACATAAAAAACAATATATATTTGCAAGTTAAAACTATTTGTAAGAGTTGAATTTTGTTATAATGGTACCAATAAATAGGAAATTAGTGTATATATTATATTTATTACTACATTCATTTTATTTGTTTTATAAACTATTATATTAAAATATATAGTGGTTGCGTTAATTTACATTCTTACTAGTATTATACTTAATGTCTTATTCAACTTCAAAAAGAAACATACAAAAGATGAAAAATTATTGAAATTGCCAAATAAATAGGAACGTGGTATATTTCTAAGAGTGTAAGTAATAAATTGAATGTTGGCTCACTTGATCATTATAGATAAGTTTAAGTTGAGTTCAAAGAAAACTATTTTTTAAATTAAAATTGGTTTAAGTAAAGTATACGAACTTTCAAGTGAGTACAAATATATTTTAATATAAAATATATATTTTATTTATATTAATATAAAATATATCCATTATAATTATTAAATATTTTTTAATATATATATATATTATTTCTATGATTATATATATTACTAAAAGATTTATGTTCAAATATATCTGTACCAAATTATGAACCTAAAGTCAAATTATATTTGGCTAAAGTTTACTAGTTTATTTAATGATTTTAATTTTTAACTCAAGTTTAATTGTTTTGATTCATGAATAAAGTTTATCGAGCTAAATAATAAATGATTTTCAAGCGAATAGCGAATTGATTCGTTTTATTGTCAGCTTTACTGATTTATTTATTTTTATATGCTTTGTATTTTAAAATTAATTGAAGTTTTGACGAGAGTCACATATAAGTGAAAATCAATTTGGTTTTATGTCGAAGAGGTCAACCATAGAAATTATGTATTTGTTGTAGCGATTGATATAGAAATATCAAAGGAACCAAAGAGACTTGCACATGGTATTCATTGATTTGAGGAGACGAATGATAAGGACGGTGCCTAAATATGTCATGGAAAGTTAGAAGAAAAATATTTGAATTGCCTATACTTAAACAATCAAAGATATGTATGATATGGTCAAAACTAGCTTGGAATACAATATTGGGTTTGATATTATTTTTCTTATTAGCATAGGATTACACCAATGGTGAACATTGAGCTTCTACTTAGGGAGAGCTCTCACCAATGATTAATATTGACTTAGTGAGAGATTCGAGAGAGGAATTAAATGATAAATTATAAATGTTGAGAGAAGCTTTAGAATGAGATGTTTTTCATATAAGTCGAAGTAAGATAGAGTATATGTACATGTTTTTTGTATAAATCGAAGTAACTAGATTAATATATCTTGTTTTATTTGATATTGGATGTGCTTACCGAGCATATCCATTAATCGGTGCCATAATACATGCCTTTTCGGTTAATATTGACTTAGTGAGAGACTCGAGAGATGAATTAAATGAGAAACTATAAATGTTGAGAAAAGCTTTAGAAGGACATGTTTTTCGTAAAAAGTCGAAGTAAGATAAAGTATATGGAGTGTAAATTTAGTAAGAGGCGGACAATGTCCTCTATAGAGGTAAAGACTGATGATCATATCATGCTACAAGTAACTAGATTAAGACATCTTGGGTAAGCCATATACAATGGAGAAACTGACGGATATAAAAATCATAGGATTCAATTGAGTTGGACGAGATGGTGGAGTGCTCCATGTGTCATATGATAAAACGGTATCACTAAAGCTTAAAGGGAAGTGTTATTGCACGACTATAAGACCTACAACGTAATATGAGGTTGAATGTTGGAGAATTAAATATCAACAAGAGAATAAATCTCGTGTAGCGTAGATGAGAATGTTGATCTAGATGAGCGGACACACTAGACAAGATAGGATTAGAAATGAAAACAATATGGGAAAAGTTTGAGTAGCTCCAATTGTAGAATAGATGGGAGTTTCTTGCCTTATGTGGTATGAACATGTGTGGATTTATTAGCTAAGATTGATGATCATATCATGCTACAAGTAACTAGATTAAGACGTCTTGGGTCAACTATTTAAGACAATGGAGAAACTGATGGAGATAGAAATCATAGGATTCAATTGAGTTTGACGAGATGGTGGAGTGCTCCACGTGTCATATGATAAAACGATATCACTAAAGCTTAAGGGGAAGTGTTATTGCACGACTATAAGACCTGCAACGTAATTTGAGGTTGAATGTTGGACAAGTATATATCAACAAGAGAATAAACCTTGTATAGCATAGATGAGAATGATGATCTGGATGAGTGGACATATTAGATAATATAGGATTGGAAATGAAAACAACATGGGGAAAGTTTGAGTAGCACTAATTGTAGAATAGATGGTAGTATTGCGCCTTAGGTGGTATGAATATGTGTGGATTTATTAGCCAAGATTCATGATCGTATCATGCTACAAGTAACTAGATTAAGACATCTTGGGTCAACCATATAAGACAACGGAGAAACTGACGAAGATATAAATCATAGGATTCAAGTGAGATGGAAGAGGTGGTTGAGTGCTCCATGTGTCATATGATAAAACAGTATCACTAAAGCTTAAGGGGAAGTGTTATTGCACGACTATAATATCTACAACGTAATATAAGATTAAATTTTAGACATTAATAGATCAACAAGAGAATAAACCTCATGTAGCATAGACGAGAATGTTACCGTAGATGAGTGGACACATAAGCCAAGATAGGATTATAAATGAATACAATAGGGGGGAGTTTAAGGAGCTCCAACTGTAGAAAAGATAGTAATATCACACCTTAGGTGATATGAACATGTGTGGATTTATTATAGAACAGAGATAGGAAAGAAGAGAGTTAGTTATATATTGTATTTATTAGAATTGAACCTTGGACACTTGTTTTGCTACCTTCTGACAAACAAGCTATTAGGTGCAAATGAATTTTCAGAGTGAAAGAGAATTCTGATTGCTCCATTTTGAAACACAAAGTTTAGCCAAAGGTTTTCATCAGATACATGGAGTTGATTACACCGAGACCTTCTTTCTTGTTGTTAAACATGTTACCATTAGGGTTCTCTTAACTTTAGTTATTACTCATCAATGGCCTCTACAACAGCTCGATATTAATAATGTCTTTCTCAATGACATTGTGGATAAATAAGTTTATATGCAGTAGTCTGCTAGTTTTCAGCACTCAGATAAGTCCTTGGTTTATAAACTCCACAAGGCAATTTATGGGCTTAAACATGCACCTAGACAATAGTAAGTGTGATAATTCTCATTTCATACATTCATGCACTTCTTTCCACTTGTTTGTGCTTGTCTATATGGACGATATTATTGTGATTGGTTTTTCTCCTACTCAAGTTCACAAAGTAATCAATGACCTCAGTACTTCCTTTGCTCTGAAGAAGGTGGGAAAGCTAGATTTTTTTCTTGGCAGTGAGGTTCAATGATGGTTCTATATTTATGTTTCAATTAAAGTATATTCAAGATCTCCCAGATAGAGCAAATATGGGAAGTACTAAACCTGCAACTACTC